GTTCTTGGACAAACTCAAACACGTAGTTCTTACACAGTTGCTGCATGCTGCTAAACCACTGCAAAGTTTCATCCTAGCGGCAACTAACTTAACTTCACTGGAGCTCTCTTATCCCTACTGCCTCAGCTGGGGGCAGCGTAAGATATCGGATTGGAATTTGCTTTGAGATCTAAAGCTAATGCCAATTAAATATTATTTGCAAATCCTTTAAGGACCTACATGTGAAAAGTCTGAATTACTAAGGCCTCTCCAGCCTTAATTCCTGTTTCTCTTTCAGTCTCGTCATCAGGTACAGTACAGGTTACCATTTAACCTTCCCCCAAAGGTGAAGTGTCCTTGGAGCTATTTAGAATTCAAAAGTGTATGTGCACTCCGGCACCTGTAAGTACTATGCCCTAGTTTCATTAATCTGTGCATTGTTTTCACAAACGTCAAAACTGACACATCCAGGCAATCGACCCGGTTAAGGAAGAGCCACAGGGTGCAGAAATTAGGTACGAGCGCAGATCCAAAATACCCCCCCCAAAAAAACACGGATGGTGTCTTCTCAGATATTTAATCTCTTGAGAACTCTAAGAAGGCTGCACCACCTTAAAAGCCACATACTACTGCCTCCCCCTTTTTTTTTTAAATAAAGCTGGTGTGCTCAGAGTCAACCCCCTTTGAGTTGGAATGGATCTAGAAGCTCAGCTCATGTCCAGGGTCCAGATCCAGAATTAGGGCCCAGCAGGGTCAGATGAACTTGTCTGCAAGCCCTACACTCTGGGACAGGACCCAGAAGAGGTGTGTGTGGGAGGGGGTGAGAGTGCTGACTGAGGGTGTGGGCTCTGGGGGTGCAGAAGGAGGCTCCAGGCTGAAGCCAAGGGATTTGGACTGCAGAAGAGGGCTCCAGACGGGAGGTTGGGGTGAGGTTGCACAGTCTGGGCAGGAGTTAGGGTGCTGGAATGTGCTCAGGGCTAGGGTTCAGGGTTGGTTATGGGGTCTAGGGGGGAATGTGCTCAGGGCTAGGGTTCAGGGTTGGTTATAGGGTCTAGGGGGAGATAGGGCTGGCTGTGCTGAGCCACCTGATTTCACATCCTCAGGCCCTGTACCCAGAATCCCTTGTTGCACCCTATCTTGCACTCCCCTGCAAGCTCCGCCTCCGCACATAGCTCCCATTGGCAATGGGAGCTGTGGGGCAGAACCCACTGACAGAGGCAGCACAGGGATGCGGTGTCCCCTTGGCGCTCACTGCTACGTGGCTCCAGCCCATTGGAGGGCAGGGAGGAGGGAAGGACAGCAGGCAGGAGAATCTGGGGCCTTGAACTGCTCCCCTTCCTAGTGCAGTCGCCTCTGCCTGGTGTCTGTCTCCCCCCTCCCCCCCGTCTTCTACTGCTGTTTGTTTTGTACAGCTGTCCCTGTTAACGTACCAAAGGACTGGTTGGCATGTTTCTTACTGAGAAGGTTCAGTTAGTTTCCTTCTTGCTCCTCACACTAAAATGGCATGATCCTGGTGAACCTGCTTGTGATTGGACTGGTCACACCCGTCATTCAGATAGTCAGCTGGTGTGCAGGAATTGTCCCAGGATTGCTAGTCACTCCAGCGTGTAAGGAATTTGGAGCAGGCTCTGTGTCGCCTACAATGTGTACAGCTGTATTTAGGCAGGTGCAGGGTATCCCTACCCACTGCTGCCCAAACCCAGGGCCCTTTCCAGACACCTCGGTCCAATCGAAAGCATACAAAGGCAGGTTAAATACACTGAGGACAAACTGGCTGGCTTCACAGGCTTCTGGTGGCCTGAATCTGGTCCATTAAGCAATGTCCGAAACTCAGTGCCTGAAAACTAAGTACTGTGCATGGGAAATTGGTATAGAGGGAGGGCCGACACTCCCTGTAAACCCCCTTTGGGATGGGAGGGACTGGCGGAGGAGTATCCCTGACAGATAGTGACTGCTCTGGTATTGCCAGTTTCCAACAATACTTAGGTGGTTCTCCACTGTGGCTGCTCCAGAAGCGGGTGGCAGGTCGAGCTAGACAGCGCCAGAGTGGGGCTGAGTGTTTCCATTGCAGTGTACACGCAACACGGCAACCAGGAGTATCCGGCATGCATAAGAACGGGGAAAGGGTCTCAGGGCTGCACCATTGGCTGGACTGGGGTAGAGGCAGAGTGACTGCTGCTAGGTCATTCAAAGAAAAGCCTCTGGCTTTCCCAAGAGCAATGCCTCCTATTTCCTAACAAAGAGGCAGATTTGTTCAGTCCGTCTATAGCACCAAAAACTGCTAAATTACTGTAGATCCTTTAGGTTGCAAGCATAGGATCAGAGTTTAGTCTCTATAGCTCAGCTCCTGCTCTTGTATCCTTCCATAAAGCATCAGCAGTTAAAGACATGAGTGCTCTACTCTGTGGTAGAGTGGGGGGACAGGTCCAAGTGCTAATAGGAGACTGAACTTCTCGCTGGTTCCTCTCACTGGACGTGGGGTTACACTGCAGGGGTCAGTATCCACCGATTCAGTAACTATCGCTACAGCCTCCCTTAACACAAATCGATAATTAACAAAAACACCCCCCCACAACACAACACTATCTACAAGCTCCTGCAGTCAGTTAATAAAGCCCTGTGGAAGGGCAGACTCACCTCGAAAGCACTTTCTCCTAGCCAGGCATGCCATAGCAGGCTGTCCTTCCCAGTGCCACCTGCTGACAGTCACTCCAGTCCAGACCTACCGCAGTTCAGGTCTCTTTGTAAGCCCGGGCCCAGTCATGTTTATTCCTGCCTTTTCTCTGGTACGTCACACCCAAACCCACATGACAATGCCTAGTCCCGTCACCCTCTCTGCTCAGGCGTGAAGATAGACAGGCCTTCCCGGAGGGGCTTCACATTTGACCATTCAAACAAACTCCCACCCCTTTACCAAGTGGTCAGGCTCCCCCGCACAAGAACCCTTTCTCTCCTGCTGTTTTCAGACTCCCTCATCCACAGCTCCATTTTTAACCTTCTTTTGGGTCCCCTGCAGTGAAAATCACCATCTTCTGGAAGCTTCACCTTTTAACTGCCCCTTACAAGGATTGTTTCCATATTGCCAGTGGCCTTCCCTGACACCCTCAGCTTCCTAGATTTCCTGTGCAAATCCTGTATCTTCCTTCCCCCAGATATCATGCTGGGATTCTCAGAAGCTCTCCCCTATTTCTATTTCACAGCAGAGTCTCTAGATCTCCCAGGCACTAGTCAACTTTCCACCACCCCTCAGCTGGTTCTCTTCCCAGATTTCTCTTCCAGGGCCTTGTGCTTCTTCCTTTATGCAGGCCCAGCTCTTCCCCAGCTGGGACTGATCTCCAGTTAGCCTGCCACCCTCTGCAGGCATCTGCAGCTGGTCTAAGTGGGCTCAGGTTCCTGTTAACCACTGCTTAATCAATGTGGGGATTTATACACCTCGTCACAGAGCACAAATGGAGATGTGAAGGGTGAGGTTTCCACCTTCACAAGGGATTATCACACATCTGCATAAAGTCTCTCTGCAGCTGGGTGACTTTCTGAAGACATGATCCGTTCTTGTTCTTAAAACAGGCCCTTTGGGATGGCTTGCTCAGGCCCGAAGGCGGAACCTGTGTTTGCCGCTGTTAATGTTTGTGAGTTGGCGAGAAAGGTATTTGTCAGAACACGAGCATTGCCAATAATATTCTGGATGTTCTTTGGAAACAGAGCCAGAGTCAGCGTCCTTCTGGGGTCCCTTTAGATCGGGGTCACAATGCAATTTACCTTAGGGTCAGTGCCCATCCCCAAATCCTCCATGTGGGCCAGCGGGAACCCCGCTCTGACAGAGCTCCCCTATCTCAGCGGGGCTGGAACGGCTTCCGGCTGCCAGCTCTGTGCCACTGCCGGCATGTCCCTGCGGCCTGGGGGACACGTGTGCAGAGCTAACCTGTGTGCTTTGGGGGGTCCTGTGCCAGCTGCCCCAACCATTCTATGGACAGGAGGGTCCTCCCTGTTCAGCTTAGCCTGCGCGTTCTTGGGCAGGCTGGGGCAGGAAACAGAGTCACCCCCCCCCACACTCACCGCGGCACCGGCAGTCTCAGGGAAGTGGAGCTACACAGCAGCCTGCTCCACTCCACTGTCATCTCCCAAGCAGCCCACACTGGAGCAGGGAGTAGCAGAGCGATTGGGCTGGCCTGGGAGATGAGGGTGGAGCAGAGGCTGCTGAGTTGCTCTGCTTCCCTGTGGCTCCCACCACCACAGCGAGTGTGGGGAGGCCTGACACCTACTACTGCCCTGTGCCAGGCCCCTCAAGGATGGGGTGCAGTGGGGGGAGGGAGGTGGAGCAGGGCTGGGAAGAGGCAGGATGGGAGCAGAGCAAAGGCTGGATTTGGGGGAAGGGTACAGATACCCCTCCCTCCTCCAAGGCCACAGGGACTCAGCGTGCCAGCAGCCATGCAAGGGCTGGATTGTGGAACTGCTTGGGCCACAGATGCCTCCTGGGCCGTGAGTCTGAGACCCTTGATTTAGCTGCTCCTCCTTTTCCATGAGTCTTTGGCTTGAGAAACCTTTTCGATGCTGGAACTGCTGGTCCTAATGAAGTGTGCTGCGGCGTGCTTGGGGAAGTGTATCCATGCCAGACATGGATCTTATGCATCCATCCCACTGGCTCTTTTATCTCTACCTCTTACTTGCATTGACTTTTTTCTGCTCTCACATCTGACTGTGCATAGTCAGGACGGACAAGGTGTGTTTTGAACTGATCTAGCAAAAGAATTAATTCAAATAGTTCCGCACCAGCCTCTTACCACCTATGAGCAGCAATTTCATGGCATTTCACCAGTTCTTGCATTCTCTGTCCTGCAGCAACTAAAGAGTTCAGCCTTGAGTCTGTATTTTTGCTGGGAGCATTCATGCCTAGCCCCAGTAGATCTGTGGTAGGGGCCTGTGCACCCAAGGAGGAAGGAAAGGGTTAATGCAGACATTGGGAAACAGGAAGTGCTTCAGCTGAAGTTGATGACAGTGCTTATATCCTCAGAAGGGAGCTGGCTGGCTGGAAGAAAAATAGTCTCCCTGAGAGTTTGGAGGAAGGAGGCTGAGCCGAGACAAGCCAACCAGGGCTGTTTAGAACTATCCACTAGCTATCAAGAGAGAAGCGTTCCTATCAGAAGCTGGGTAAAGTAAGCTGGCTGTGGAGCTGTGTTATTATGTGAGCTTGGCCTGAAGCAATAGCAAAGGAAACTTTTGTAACAACTGGACCTGGCTTCACTTAGGAGGGGCTAATTCAGACTCTTAAAGGACTAGTATTGCTGGAATGAACAACTGTGCTATCAGAGCTCTCGCTGCTGGTCCAAGAAGTGGAGCTGCCTGGTTGTGAATCCCTGTAAAGTGTTGCCCTAAAGGTGAAATGTAAGACCCAGTATACACTCCCTGGCCAGGAAACAAACTGGTGCCCGAGAAAGACAAGGATTGATGTGACCCACAGGAATGGATACAAGCTGCCATTTTGCAGCAGAAGTTGCTGGTTCAACAGAACCAGCAGGAGCCGCAGCTGCTGGCGATAGCTAGTCCTGTTGATGAATCCGGTCGTCTTATTCAACCCAAATGCATCAAGCCGGGTGGTCTCCATGGCACCAGGCCTTTTGTTAATTAAGATGTGACCAGTCGATGACCCAGAAGCCTTCCTAGAGGTTTGTGAACGAGTGGCCATAGGTACTTGTAGGACCTCCAGTCTGGAGGTTTCTGCTCTGCATCAGCCCTGTCTGAACCTCAAGCTAGGGGCATGTGAAACTGGACTCGCAGCAAGTGAGAGCTGTCGTTCTCCTTCCATTCAGCCTCTTCTGTTTTGGGGGACATGTCTCCGGTTGACTCTTCTATTCCAACATTTGCCTTCTCTATTGCAATAAGGGAAGAGCAAGGTGGTTGCAACCCTGGATGTGCATATTTACGACACATACAGATCCACGTTCTTCTGCGGGTTGAAATGCTATGATTTAGCAATCTCAGAGACTTCAGTTCCAGGAGGAGAGCGACCCGACTGGGAGAAGGCCCAAAGTCATCGTTATGGTCTGGCGAGAAATAGTTAACGCTCGATTCAGTCTGCCCCTCCAGTGGGACCGATAGTTTTGGAGCAATCAATGCACCTGTTGCCTCTTGGAGCGGAAGAATGGGTGTGCTCGCATCAGGCTGAGACTGAACCATAACATTTCTCTGAAGCAGAGCTGGCAGTGGAAGCTCAGTTTAGCTATAATCTGGGCCTGCTCTAGCCTGAGGTAAAACTGAAGGGACAAGTTACAGAGAGAGAGAAAACCCCTCCACTCTGTCTCCAAAGGACTTAAAATGTTCCAGTAGCTTTCAGCTTAGTCCCTTGCTATGCAGTGAGGAAACCTAAGCAGGGTTGGAAGCAATCTTACCCCGTTGGCAACTCTGAGAGGATGAAGCACTGGAGAATTTGCATTTCCACTGCTGGAAAGAGAGGTGCCCCCTGCTACAGAAGATGCCCACCAGTGGAATGGAAGCATCACTTTGCGAGATGGATCACAGGACAGGCCGGGATGGGAATCTCTCCTTTTCTTTCTCCCAACTGGATTCTCGTGCAAGCTAAAGAATCTAAGCACTGTTGGATTCTGCCTGCAGCTAGACTGTCATGAAAAGGACTTAATCCCATTGGCCCTAACCCCCTCAAGAATTGAATCCCACCTATGGAACACTTGAGGGAAGGTGGAAAAACCATCCCTTTTTGAAAGTCTGTCAATATGGCACCTATAGCCCAGGATAGGAAAATGACATATCTTGCTCATCCTCAAGGACTACTGCCGGAGGTGGCCGAGGATCCAGAGGAAATAGAAGACTGCTCTCATAAAACCTTCCTGACATCACGTCCCCTTACAAGATGAAGAGTCCTTCCCAGCAGAGGTTTGGCCCTACAAAACTAGAGAAGGTGGTCGGAAGGGAGGTGCACTTGCGTAGAGAAAACGGGGAGTTGTGTGACTAAACAGAAGAACAGTGGGAACTAAGATGGGACTGGACTACAGGGAACGAGTCACTTGAGCATTGCTCTGTTCTGCTCATTCTCTCTGAAGCATCTGGCACTGTCAGAAGACCGGATCCTAGATGGACCCCGTATGGCCGTTCTTATATCCTTAACAAACCCGCAGAGGAAGAATGAATGTCCATGCTTCACATCCGTGAAAGTGAAGTGCAGAGGTAAACTCAGTCTGGGAAGGTTGGTGGGTTTATCCAATAGTATTCTAGAACAGAGGGAAGAGGATTCCTTCTGCCCCCTTTGAGTTGCACATAGCTGTTACAGAAACAGTCTGATTTTGCTTTCTACATTTTGTGCTAAGAACAGCCTATTATACAGGATGATGAAGGGAACATCCAGGGCCCAGGAGAACTTAATCTACCTTGTAAACATAGTACCTTGAATTAGCAGTCTCCTCCAAGGAGAAGAGACAACTGAGGTGGAAGAATACCTCTTCCCAGAGCGAAAGAAACTGGATCTAGACTTGATAGCTCAATTTTGTTATGCCCTGTTTGATCCAGTTGACACAGACCAAGTTGGTCTGACATGGATCCAGAACTAAGTGGTGTGACAATGGCCACACACCAGTACTGGCTTTGATGGGTGCAGCAGTGAAAAATAATTAGAAGATGAATGTGGGTTTAACTGAGGAATTGCATAGTAAAGCCCCCCCCCCCCCAATTGTCCGGGTCTAGAAGCAAAATCGCATGAATCCACTTACCATTTGCTCTTAGATATATGCACTTCCTAAGAGGATATATACATGCCTACTCCATGCCATGAATGGACATGTGATGAAAAGATGCTGGCAAATCCTGCACACTAAGTTGTTACAGCAGCCCGACTCTGTCCCCTACTCTAAGCCCTAGCTCATGTTCCCTCCCTGAGATTAAATAAACTTGTCCAAGTAATTTGTGCAAGGACAGAGCCAGAACTGGAGCAGGTCAGTCTCCCTTTTTGCTCTGTGCCTGGTGAAAAGCTGCCCTGTGGCCAAAGCAAACTGCTTTGAATGCTAGAAAGAAGCTGGAGCTGGGAAGAGAGATTGACCAGTATTCATCAATATTGCACTTCACGGTCGTGGAGCAAAACAAGAAGGGAAAGAAATTATTGGGTCGAATAAAAGGAAGCTCAAAAATAAACAAATGCCACGAGTTAAGGAACAGACGAGACTAAAGTGTAATGGTGACAATGAGAGGTTGTTTTATCTGCATGATATATTCACCCATGGCGTGGTAAAGTACTGGACCCGTCATCCCTACCCCAAATTCCTAGACTGGACTTTGGTACAAGTAAAGACTGTCTCAGATATTCCATCCCAAGCATTATGGCGAATAGTGTTTTGGAGTTTACTCTGCTATGTGGCTCTTCATATATTACAATCTGAGTGCACAGTTTAAGTACTTAACTTTTGAGAGATTAGGAACTTGCTGCAGCGCCATCTATGAAAGGAGTACCAACCATCTTGGAAGGAATGTACCTGCTGATCTGTTTGTCAGTGCTTCTGTACCACCCTACTACAATATAGCAGTGGTCCCCAACGCGGTGTCCGTGGGTGCCATGGCATTTATGTGCACCCGCCTAGTGACCAGGGCTGGCCCAAGCCATTCTTGCGCTCCAGGCGTATGCGCGGCTCCCGTCCCAGGTGCGTGGCGCATGTGCGGGCCTCGCCCATGGGCACCCGGAAGCCCCAAAAGGTTGGGGACCACTGATATAGTTGTAACAGCTCAGAGCAGATGTGTCCTTGCACACTCACCTGGCTGATTGTAGCCAACTTATCCCCGGAGTAACTCCTATGTGATCAGTGATGGAGCAGGTGCCATTGAAAAGTAATATGGTTATAGTAGTCCCAATAATTAAAACTTATATATTATGCTTGACACCTGGCTACATCCACAAGCATGCAGTCAGGCTGTTATCCTGCAGTCCCATTGTTGGTAACCGCAGGCTGGGTAGGTAAAATTTGGAAAGAAAAGCAATTCTTATTTATGTTTTATTTTCATGCAGGTGGTTCTCACACAGCTATTGAGAAATTTGCACGAAAAACTGGCCTGTACCCTAAAAAGTCTGTGTTGGCATTTAGCAGGTAAAGAAGCTGGCTGTTCTTCTGCAGGGAATGCCCAACCTAAGCCTTTCTTGGTAACTTTCCAGGGGCTGGAGGCTACACCCGACTTATGTAAAATGGGTCAGTTCGCAGCTGCTCTCGTCTTGTCTGTAATAGGGGTGTGTGTCTTGGCATGCAGGTCTCCATTTTCAGTACTGGGACTTCTAGTTGACAAAACAAACCAGTCCTCCCTTCCCCAAGCTGCTGTACTGGTTGTAGTACTCATTCTGGGCTTTGGGCTGTCCATGGGTCCCTTGTGTCTTCTGGGGGTGGAAAAGGGAAGGGAGGGGAAGAGAGTGGTGGTGAGGTGGGGGCAGGGGGAGGTTGGCAGCTGGGAGGCTGTTGCATGGTTTGTGGGGTGTAGGGATCTCTGGTTGCATGGTATCTGTGTTGTCTCTTGCCCTGGCTTGAATTCCTGTCTCACCCCTTCCTGCTTGGCCTGTATTGGGGGGGGATCTACATGTAGCTTTGTAAGTGCGGACTCCTGCCTGGGGGGGGGGCGGGTTGAGACTACTGGGGGCAGAGCCGGGATCCCATTCAGGCCAGGTCCAGTTTTGA